TAATATCAGTCAATTAGAAGAAATGGAGCAACGGCAGTACTTTCCAACAGAAGGAAAAAGAGATAGAGTCACACTCTCTTCTGAGATTAAGACTAAACAACCCAGGTTTCTGGCTCCATCTTATGGCTGTTTGAGAAACCACACCCAATTGCATGCCCTTGCATTCCCTTAAAGATATAGTACTAAAATGTTTATCCTGGTTTATATATTTCTAACCCAAATATCTGTTAGGTGACTTATATTCCTAACAGGCCTGATTCTTGCAGCCCAAAAACAAGCCATCAGAACGAATGCAATCAAAGCCAGAATAGAAAAATCTGCTGATAACCCCAATTGCAGACTCTGCAAAGAAGCGGACGAAACCATCGATCACATACTGAACTGTTGCAAGACAATAGCTCAGACTGACTACAAACAACATCACAACACAGTTGCTCAGATGGTCCACTGGAACTTGTGTCACAACTACCATCTGCCTGTAGCAAATAACTGGTGGGATCATAAGCCTGAAAAAGTGGTTGAAAATGACTTCCGAATACAGACTGACAAAGTTTTGGAACACAATATCCCAGATATCACAATTGTGGAGAGAAAAAAGTGTGGTTTGTCAACATTGCCATACCTGGTGACAGCAGAATCAATGAGAAACAACTTGAAAAAAATCATCAGATATCAGGACTTGAGAATCAAACTGCAGAGACTCTGGCATAAACCAGTGCAGGTGGTTCCAGTTGTACTCAGTAAACTGGGTGCTGTGCCTAAAGACCTAGGCAAGCACTTAAAAACAATTGGCACTGACAAAATCACCATTGGTCAGCTGCAGAAGGCCACCTTATTGGCATCTGCTTGCATAATCCACCAATACATTACGCAGTCCTAAACGCTTGAGAAGTGTTCAAATGGTGATTTGTGATACAAAATCCAGCATAGTTATCTCATTTGCTCACTGTCATTTTTTGTGTCTAATAATAATAATAATAATAACAACAACAACAACAACTACTACTACTACTACTACTACTACTGGGAACATCAGGTTGAGAAGGTTCTGGAGAATGAAAAAGTCAAGATCTTGTGGGACTTCAGAATTCAGACTGACAGGCACTTGGCCCACAACACACCTTATATAACAATAGTTGAAAAGAAAAGGGTTTAGTTCATTGACATTGCAATAGTGGTGATGCAAGAATTGAAGACACGCAGCAAGAAAAAATAACAAAGTATCGGACTTACAAATTGAAGTTGAGCAACTTTAGAAAAAGAAATTGTAATTGGAGCCCTTAGAGCAATACCTAAAGGACTACCTCGAAATTCTGAATTTATCAGACTTGAATACCCTGATTCTACAAAAAATCACCCTACTTAGAACAGCTTATATTCTCTGACCCTACCATAACAGTTCCTAGGTCCTTGGTTAGGACTTGAGCTGTTGAGCTACCAACCAGCCCCAAAGGCTGTGAATCTCACTAAAGAAGAAATAATAATAATAATAATAATAATAATAATAATAATAATAATAATAATAATAATAATAATAATAATA